ATAGCGATGGGGTGCTACGGTTAATTAAGCCCCCCGCCGCACCACGCTGCAGACTCGAATTTGATTCTCATTGTCATGTGGATTAAATTCTTAGGGAGTATTTCAGGCTTTCTTTGGGGGCATTCCACCCTTTTCAGGCCTGGTTGACCCAGGTCAAAACCCTGCTGCCTGAAATCCGGGGATGGGGGGGGGGGGGGGGGGCGTATAATAAAATATCCAATATAAAAAAAAAGAAAATAAATTGATCTGCCTCATTGAATTTCAAAATTTGGATTCGAATTGAGACCGGTGTATTCGTTTAATCTTATTGTTACATTTCCTATGATAAGTATTTCCGGTGGAGGTCTAAAAGTTCCAAGTTGGAAGTGACTCGTATTTTGTCTCAAGAGAGAAACATCAACAGCAACTATTACCTTATAAAGTACTGCTACTAAGTACAGTTGTTGGTTTTGTATTTTTTTTCCTTTTCATTTGCCTCTAAAAAAGCTATACTAATATTTTTAGAGCCTGTGTCTTAGTAACAATACTGTACATATTAAAAACATTCAGTTAAACAACACAATTCGACTATAAAAATATTCCAAACTTACTTCAGAGTCATCTGTCAGTTGACGGTACTGCTCACACGCCTTCCAAAACAAGATGTTCTCTTCGCTGAACTCTTTCCTCAAAAATTCCTAAATAGAAAAATAACATCGATGTAGATGAGAGTAATAAAGTTAATAATACGAGTCGAGGGAAAACTCAATATAACTTGTAAATTAAGGAGCAAAATATAGAGAGATCATGTTTCTACCAAAGTGCATAAAAGAGTATTTAAGTTTTAAAAAAACATACAAAACAAAACAAAAACCTAACGGCGTAAGGTATTAACCTTAGGTAATTTTTTCACCGGCTAATTTATTGGTTTGTGTATTTGGTTTTTTTGTTTTTGTTTGTCGATATTACATATATCTATGTATTGATCTAATTCTTTTTGAATGATGTCCAACTCTTGAAAAAAAAAAAAAGACAAACTATAAGTAAACATGATATAGTTAATGATGAACCTACCGAAAAGACTTCAACGCCGACTGGGTCCTGAAGTAGTTTGTCCACGTGTACGGCCCAGCTGGCCACCCGACCTACTTGCTCCTTCAGACCGTCACCCTGATCGACAGTCTGTCCAGTGATGTTGTCCACACTCACATTTAACAACCTAGCCTGTTTGTGATCGCCAGTCTGTCCAGTGATTATGTCCACACTCACGTTGAGCAGCTTGGACTGGGTGTTCAGACAGGGAGCCTCTTCAATAACTGGGGACTTAAGTTATGAAAAACATTAACTTTTTATTTCGTCTGTTTGTTTCTCTTTGTTTGTTGTTTTCTTCTAAGTAAATTATCAAATTCACCCTACTTTTTTAAGGGGGTGTTCTTTGTTTTCCTGAGCGTAGGAATAGGGTGATGGGTTGGAAGCTTTGTTTTGTTTAGTTTTTTTATGGTGGGTGTTTATCGACTCTCGCAATTGCATAAGGTAATATGAGGGTGCGGGATATATTAAACATTTTCAGTTCGTAGGAGCTTTTGACTTTTGCACGGGTGGCGGCCGAAGCCTACTCTTATTTATGATGGACTAACAAGGGATTTTTAACATGTGCAACATGCTTAGAGGGCTTCCGAAATTATTTGCCCTTATCCGAGAAAGATAGATGATAGATCTTACCTATAATAAGATCAGGGGTGTTGCTGAAAGACAATAAGAAGGAGCCAAGAAGTAGAGGTAGAAAGGCTAAAGAAAGAGTCAGGGCCAGGGGCCAAGAGGAGGGTGCAAAGGAGTGGGTGCAGAGAGTGGAGACAAAATCAGACGAAAGAACATTGTCAGAGAGCAGGGAAGGAGGTGAAACGAGAAAAATCTAGAGAAGGAAATGTTCCAACTCTGTCTGGAATCAAACCCGGTACCTATTGACTGAGTGG